TACTCTATCTTTTAATAGACACCAAAAACAGCTCAAACGGGTCACATCAAAGCTTACAATAAATATCAAAATATATTTTCGATCTGTCAATCAATCAAGTCAATTCGATCAAGTGTTAACCAATATCATTGAAAGATATCGAAGTTATTTGCATCACATTATTCATTCATATTCATAGAAGTATCGCCATCTTTTCAATGAAGAGTTATTTAAAGCGACTCTATACTATAGGATAGCACAATCAAGACCCCTTTGGACCTTTTCGCATATTGAGTTTCACCACATAGTCAACTAGTATATCTACTTACCAACAAAGAAGTTCCAAATCCTCCGCTTTCAATGTTAAGCTTGTGATTGTGCTGGCCGATCTAATTATTTTCACTGAGATTAATTCAAACTGAAGTTTGAATATTCCGGGAAAATCCCCTTGTTATCTTATTGGTTGTTGAATTTGTTTATCTTGAAGCTGATTGGCTGCCTCATTCAAGGCTAGTTTTGGCGCTTGTGTGACTTATCGGGGATTCCCCTCGCTAGCTGCGGAATCAATTGTGTTTTATTCTGAAGGTGGTAATGTTCTGTTGATTATTTCAATATATTATTATTATAGATTATTTCAATAATATAGCCAAAAGTTATTCTCAAGATATATCTACAATATATAAGATATTATATGAACAATAATAATGGGACACCATTTATTGTCTGGGCGAGAACCTATATTATAGTGCATCTTTAAAACATGCACTTTGTCAAAAATGTTCATGCCCTACTTATGATCTCTGAACTTCAAATGCCATTTTTATATGAATCTTTTTTTTTCTTGGTTCAATATAAATGCAAATCGAGCTTTGTATCACATTTGATTGAGTGCGTAAGTAACATGTCCAATGATTTTTATAACATTTTCCTTCAAAATTAAGCATAGGGGGCCTTTAACAGACTTTGTGAATACTGATTATGAGAAACTTAAGCCCAGTGACTCATACTATACTATGCTTGAAGTTGGAGATATTGTTCCAAATGGAAGTTATTTCAATGGCCTTCGGGACTGCTAATAGATGGCATACAATTCAGTGGGTTTAATAGCATACTTAACATGTAAAAGTTGCTCCAAAAATCTCCAAAAATAAATTTTATTGAAAATATCCAAAACCTTATGATTTTGAATCTTAAAACATGTTTATAGGTAATAATGAAGGAGAATATGATATGTATCTGATATATGTAGTGAATTTGAAGTTTTAAAACAGCAATATTTACACACAAACCAATGGGCCAGATGTGAAGGACAAGAACAAGGACTGGTAGTTAACTGCCATCTATATGTGTCCTGGCTTCCTTTAATGTAAGAGCTATCTTGGTCTTCAATAAACTAAAATGATAGAGCCCTGTTTTAAAAATCTTATCAGCCATTTTGAATTTATATAAAATGTTTAGGTATGCTTCTTAATAATTGGTGTAAAAGTTTAATACTGAATACTTTGGACATTCTCAGTATAAATGCTAAGGCAGCCATTTTGGATTTTCCCTCCTTGATATTGTCTATAAAGTGTTGTCTACATGTTTCAAGCCAAACCGTTTGATGAATTAATCTGAATTGTTGAGGAAATGGTTCATGGAATGAAAGTTTACAAATGAACTGTTTTTGGGTAATCTGGTTACCTTTTATTGTAACCATTTTTGATTTTCCATCTTAAAGGTGCAACAATTAGTGCAGGGGGCCATTCAACGATCATCGACCAGTGTCAAAATATATTTAAGTTTGGATATTTCATCAAGACTAACATATACAGGGTGTTCCAAAAGTAACAGGACTAGTGCTGGTTTTTTGTTAAATATGGACCAATTGTCTTCAAAATTTTACATAATGTACTTTCATGTATTGTCAATTCAACTGCAAAGTTTCGACAAAAAGTATAAAACTTGGGTAGAGTTATGGTTGCTATGGTAACATGACATCACAATACCCGGGGCAACATTCCAGGCAGAAAGTTTCAGAGACTTTAAGCAATTTGTACATCCCATGAAAAAGTTGAAATGCAACAACTGGTGGAAATTACAATTGCTTTATATCATTTGATATTAATATGTATCCTCTACTTTGAAAAGTAGGCTCCTCTTTGGTCAGTACAAGAGGAGCACTCTGTAAACATAACTCAAACACATGAATGAACTCATTTTAGGACATTGCAAGGTCGATTGGAAAAAACTGGGAGATGGTCATTCTCATCTTTAAAGGTCTTACCCCACTGATTAGCATTCCATTCCATTCCCCATAAAAATAATGAAAAATTGGATATTGCATGATCAGAAGAGTATGGTGCATGGTCTTTGACCCCAAGACCTGGCTCCTCTATAGCTGCAGTGGTCTTTAATGCTGACTTGCAGGCAGGCGGGTTATTAAGGTGGATGACTGGCTTCAAATTGGGTCTTTTCGAAAACTCAATTGTGAATTATGCTGACTGTTATACCTAGTGATATTCCAGGAAATTAAATAAATATTATTATACTGAAATCATACTTGAATATGAGTTGTATAGCAACACCATAACAACAAAGCAACTAATAAAACATGCAAAAAAATGTTGTACTGTAATAGGTGAATAAGATACTTTCCTTAGTAATACAAAAATGTTAGATATCACATTTTCATGAAAAAGTTGCTCCGGGTATTGTGATGTCATGTTACTAAAGTAACCATAACTCTACCCACATTTTTTCATTTTTTTCTGAAATTTTAGATATTAAGTTGCAATACTTCAAAGTAAAATTTGTGAAAATTTGAAGACAATCGGTGCAGAATTGACAAAATGCCAGCACCAGTCCTGTTACTTTTGGAACACCCTGTATTTTCATTATCTACAAAAAAAACCCCTTGGATGAACATTATTTCAGCTGATATTCCTCCTGAAACGTGGTGGATCTTGAAAATCTATAAGTGGGACTCCCTTTATAGAAGTTTTAAACTGAATTTACACTTCTTAATGCCGAAATTGATAGTTTATACATACATTTTAAGATGTTAAGCCAAATATTGACCCGATAGCTCAGACAAAATCAATATTTTCGATTTTTCTCTTTCAGTCCTTGTTGGCCCTTTAATATCTTTCTGTGGATTGATCTGAAATGTTAAGGGATGTTTCTTGGTATAAAAGTCCAGAACTGAATGTTTTTGGGCATTCTGGGTAAATGTAAAAAATGTCCATTTTGGAGCTACCATCTCAAATATGGTCTATTCTGTTCAAGATTTTTTTCAAATGTGGGGTGCAAGGGACCCACTTTTCTCAGACCCTTATAAAAACACTGGCTACCTATGATTTACATGTATGAATAATTTACACAGAGCTAGGCATGCTAATACTTCAAATTCAAAAATTCTTCTTGCGGCGGCCTATCAGCAAATATTTTTTTCATGCTCTCACCTATTTTTGTAGTTTTGAGCATCATTGGGCATTCGAGTGAAGCAAAGATATATCTGGTTCCCAGGGGACTTGAAGTCAAATATTTTTTCCGTCTACTTAACATCAAGGTTTTGCTTGATTTTGCATCAAAACGGCATTCATGAAAACCCTGGTTGCTATTGGCCAGATATAAAAAATGGTATAAAATGTATTGTGCCCTTGCTTTTTACCAGTAAAATTCCATTGGTTTTGATATGATTATTTTGGAACTAGAAATGTTTAAGGCCCATATACCAGTCATGTTCTATTATATATAGGTATGGATCAATATGCTTTTAAAAATCCTTTTAATTTTGATACATGGCAAACATGTTTGTTATTGCCCATTGTGCCTCAGTATGGATCGATATTCTTAAAAATTCTTTTGACACATTGCAAATATGTTTTTAAGACTTCTTTTAAAAAGAGCAAATATAATTCATCATAGCTGGTATTTATCTTTTATGTGAAATTTAAATAACACTTTGTCAAAGTAGGTTCAACCCTACTACTAACATTTCACGATGAAATCGAAATTGACAAAACTGGTTAAAAATTCTACCAATATAGGATAGAAGGATAAATGGTATATGAAAAATAATATTCTGTGCGCTAACTGACAAAAACAAAATATGAAAGTGATATTTTGCAACTACTGGATCTGAGAAATGACTTTACTATATGTGCAAATTATTGCAATATTACAAGAATTTCAAATGGGAGAAATATGGACTGTAAATCACAGAAAAGCCCTGGTGTAGAACTGCCAGGGTACTTACATCAGCCTACTGAATTAGAATCACAACCTGAAGTAGAATCACAACCTGAATTGGAATCACAACCAGAATCACAACCAGAATTAGAATTACAACCTGAATTAGAATCACAAGATGAATTAAAATCACAACCTGAATTGAAATCACAACCAGAATTAGAATCACAACCTGAATTAAAATCCCAACCTGAATTACAATCACAACCAGAATTAGAATCACAACCTGAATTAAAATCACAACCACAATTAGAATCACAACCTGAATTAGAACCAGAATCAGAAGAAAGCTCTGTTGTTAAACTTACAAGAAGCTCATACAAGCTTACTGAATCAGAAAAAGACATATTTACAGACTTTGTGAATACTGGATATGAGAAATGTAAACTAAAGCTCAGTGACTCAGAAATCAAAGAACATCAGGAGGAGATTATATCAAAAGTAAGGAGACTTTGTGATAAACTAACAGAACTTTATCCTGTGTTTGAAGTTGGTGATATACTACCAAATGGAAGTTATTTCAATGGCAGCAAAATCATATACCCTGATGAATGTGATCTGCTGCTTTTATTTAAACAACTTTCCCTGCCAAATGTAGATATATCAGATGTATATAGGAACAATGAAGTAAAAGTGTCCATTTGTAATGAAAATCTGAACAAACAAATCAATGACATAAAACAATCATTAGGAGTAAATGCAAAAGTAATAGATGATGAGGACAATCTTATGAATTATATAAGACATTCAAAAGTAATAGATAATGAGGACAATCTTACGCATTATATAAGACATTCAAAAGTAATAGATAATGAGGACAATCTTACGCATTATATAAGACATTTACTCCAGAGTGCAATCCATACCTGTTTATCCCAACTGGAAGGTATTAACTACAAAGGGAAGAGGAGACTAGGACTTACCAGTAGTGAATGGGAATGCTTGGAAAGACTGAGGCTACTTCATCAGGAGGATTCTACTTCCTTTTATGAGTCAATTATAGAAGAAATAATACCAAGTTCATTGAGAGATAGTTGCAGGAATGGAACATATGACCCCTACTTATCTCCCAATACAGTTGAATTAGATGATAGGATACATGGACCATGTGTAAGAATAAGGGTTGGTGGTGGTAAATATACCACAGATATTGATCTTGGGTTCTCCAAAGAAAAGCAACAGACAGAGCATGGTAGATATATACTCCTGCCATATAACCAAAGAATAGATGATTTTCCATCATGGACTCAATCTGTCTATAACAGTAAACATGAACTAGATAAACATCACAACAAGCTGCTGATGTTATTGAAACTCCTCATTCTGGAATGTCATCTAGTCCGTTATAGCTGCACTTACAGCTCACATGCACTGAAGACCCTTGTGCTACATCACCAGGCAGCATGTGCATCTAGTGAGAGATCATTGGGAGGTTGCCTGTGTGATGTAGCTCACCATGTATTTGAACTATATGAGATGAAGGAGGAGGATGGACACCTGTGGATATATGACAGTAAGAAGGAACTTGAAGATGTTGATTTCCCAAGTGTTGATGTACAACCAAGATTCTTAAAATACAGGTCTGAGAATTATTGGATGATGCCAGTAGTCTTCTACATCACAATACGTGCACTGAGATCTGGCTGCTGTACAGGAGAGGAGGCTCTCCATGTGGACAGATGGTTAATCATATCTGAACTATGGAACAACAAGAAGGGTAGCTATGTACAGCAATGTGGTCCCTCATTTGATCGAAAATGCAAGATACCAACACAAGAGATTGATGAATTAATAACCAGATTTTATAGCAAATAACAATTCATCTCCTTAGAGCCTAAATTACAGTATACTCTGTTGTCTCTATAATTGGGTCCAAGGTAAAACTAAATTACTTTACCAGATATATTTTTGATATCTTCAGCTAGTAACCACAATAATTCTCAAAAATACTTGTATGATTTCATATACATGCAATGTATGTGAATATTATTGTGAATACTACAGAATACTACAGAGTGATATAGTAATAGCACTTCTTCTTTCAAATGCTTATGTTCTATAAAAACTGAATTTTAATACAGGCATTACTTTTAAACACCTTGTAATTCTCAATATATTATTCCATGACTGTTTTGCATTTATCAATTTAAATGCTACAGAATATCAGAGTGATAAAGGGACATTCTACTTACTAATTATAATGTTTTACAAAACCTGAATTTTAGGCATTACTTGTGGAACACCTTGTTATTCTCACTAATATCATATCAGATGCAATGAATAATTAAGATCACTGTTTTTGATTTACTGCATTTGAATACTACATGTACAAAATATTACAGAGTGACCCAAAATAATATGGTGTATTTTACTTTCCAACTCGGATATTTAACAAAAAAATAATTTTTATATTCTAATTCACAACAACCTGATACAAATCTGTATGTGACTTTAAATTCATCTGTAGACTGAGATTCATCTTGTTTATCTTATCCAGGGTTGAGCAAGATGAACCCTTGAGAGAAGAGAAAATATTTTAAAAGTTTTTAGTGGAGTAGGATATATTGAGTTGTACAACTAATTATGATATGTGCATTGTTATATATGTTATCCAAATACAAATCTGTGTGTGACTTTAAATCCATCTGTAGACTGAGATTCATCTTGTTTATCTTGTCCAGGGTTGACAAAGATGAACCCTTCTTGAGAGAAGAGAAAATATTTTAAGTTTTAAGTGGAGTAGGATATATTGAGTTGTACAACTACTTCATGACATGTGCATTGTTACTGTAGATACACTTAATTTGGCTACCGTTTTAATTTGACAGATTGGCGGATTGAGAAAATCTGCCAAATTAAAAATCTGCCAATTTTCAGATCTATTTTGGAAAATCCCTAGAGAATTTGTAATTTGCAATTATTTCACTTGTGAAAGTATTCCTATTTGGGTTTCAGTGCCACACCAAGACTTACTGCAAGCAGAACACATGAATCTGAAATGTTTATTTCCAGATCTATGCTAAAACTTCAGCATAGTCCTGACTCCGCCAAAGTGAATAGCCGTCAATACTTGAAATTGAGCAAATCCACCAATTAAGTAGCGTCAAATTAGGTGTATCTACAGTTTATATGTTATCCAAGATGCCATACATATATATATTCTAGAAATAATGGGTTTAAATGTTACAAGTTAATAAGAAAGGAATTGTGAAATAAGGCAGACAGAATAGGTATAATTACTTAATAACATGTGTAAGCATTGTTATTTGAAATAATATAGAGAGCTTATTTAATGGGAGGTTTTTGATACAGGCTATATCTGAGGGAAATACAATATATCTACCCGAGGGACCGTAAGGACTTAGGGTTGATATATTGTATTTACCGAGGGATATACCCTGTATCAAAAATCAAGCATTCAATAACTGATTTATCCTATACTTAATAGATTATGAGAATTAAATATGCATTGATTGTTTAGGGAACCCTAATGTAATAATTACAAACGATAATTACAATCCAAACATGAATATTTTATCTCAATTAAACTTCTCTACAATTTTTGTTTTTTAAAACTCAACAGCTTTTAACATTTAAACCTGTATGAAATTAATGTTTATCAAATTCAGCCAAAGCATATCCCGTGAAATCAAAAAAGCACCGAAAGAAATTCCTGGGGATTGCTGATGAGCGGGTGATATATATATCTCCCGCTCACTTCAGCAGGAGATATATATTTCACCCGCTCACCTCAGATGGGATAAATAATTATATTAACCCCATATGTACTAAGTTTTATTTTTGGTCACATGATATGCTTTATGTTTCCTAGAGGTTCAATGGCTTATTTATATTTACATTAAAGAAATGAACATTTTCCCTGAATGTCCTAACACCATATTAGCAATGAAAATTAAATGTACTATATATTCATCAATTGACCAGTTAATATTTTATTTCATCTTCTTTGCTAGATACACAGGGAGATATGCAGATTACTCAATTAGTACAAAATAAGTACTAAATTAGCACTCTGTCAAAAGTGCACTCATGAGCACTCATGCAAAGAGTGCTAATTTAGTACTAGTTCAAGATATGAGTACTCATTTTGTGCTGAAAATCAATTTTATTAGCACTATTTTATCACTCATGATATGAGTACAAATTTAGTGCTAAAAATCAATGAAATTACTGCTGTTTTATCACTTATAATATGAGTGCTCATTTAGTACTAAAACATGCAATAAATCAGTATTCATGTCATAAGTGCTCATTTTGTACTAAAACATGAAGTATTCATGTCATAAGTGCTCATTTAGTACTAATATTTACTGAATTGAGTACTCCATTAGTGCTAAAATGCCATGAGTACTATTTTAGTACTCGGCATATCTCCCTGTGTACTAGGAGTTCAAAGTTCAGTTACCATGAAAGTCACCTAAATTAAAGAGCATGCTTTTTACTTAAAGATTGAAATTGAAAGAAATATTTCAAGATTGCCTCTCCTTACAGAATATACAGTATGGTGACTAACATTTTTGGGAAATAGTACAAAATAATTTGACATGAACTGATGAAGCCTCAGAATATTTTAGTAGATAGGTAAAAATATGCCACTATTTATATTTGGTACTAACAAGTTAAAATATCTAACCAATCAAAAGTAAAATGTACTTTATGATGATGTTCAACCAATAAATACTATATGTGTACATGTACATATTAATTATCAATATAAAAAATCATTTGTACTGTTGTGTACTCAAAAAAGCTTGTCATTTTCAAGTGATTCTTGTCTATTATCATCTTATCCATTTTAGAGTACATGGTGGATCCAGAAGCTAACAGGGGGGGGGGGGGGATTTCAAATCAGAAAAATGATTTAAGGCCCATTTTTGATAATTTGGCCTAAAAGGGCCCAAAAAATTCCCAAGTTATGCCCAAATAGGTCCTTTTATTGAGACCCTACAAAATTTTTGGGGCCAACATTTTTCTTTGGCCAACCATGGCCTTGTGCAACTAAGGCAGTAAGATGCATGTAGGATTTGATGTGAGTCATGAGAGCCCTCTATCAGCAATATGGGGTTTTAAAAGCATGAAGTCATTTTGACCAGAATAATAGATGTCACAGCAAGATGTATGTTATGTCTCCTTGATTTCTAGCATCAAGAATATACAAAATTCTTAAAAACTTGATAGTAAAACATTACCGCACAATCCTGCAAATTTTTGAAATAGAAGTTACAGTACCCAATTGCTTTGATGCTGTGGACTAGAGTTTGTTTTTGTTGCAGATTCAATTGTAGACTGCTTAGAGGATGGGGGGGGGGGTATCCCAGAGTCAACAGCTTTTGAATATGACGAGGGAATTTTGTAAATGGGAATTTGTAAATTACAATGTCTGAAGTGAGAAATGACAATCTTTTGGAAAAATAAGTGACTGACTAATCAAAGTGACTAATAACCATAAGGAACACAATTTTCTACATTTCCCTTTAAAGAAGACAACTGCAGTTTGTGGTTTATTGAAGTTTGATAACCCAGTATTAAAGCAAGTGGGTGCAGCACCCACCTGCGATTTTAAAAACAGGCTTGCACCCACCAGGGAAATCCATTTGTACAAACTTAAAATGAGAGAAATTGGGCATTTTTACCAATTTTGGTCTGAATTGTGAAAATGAGAATTTTGCACCCACTTGAGAAAAATCGTATGGATACAACTGATGACCCTTATATTGGGCAAAGTGACTTACAGCCCTGATTGATTATGGATGATCTTTACAATGATATGATAGTGCTGAATCAAAAACACCCTGTAGATCCCATACATTTCTCAAATAAAATATGGTTTAATAAAGCACATATAATTTACAATGATTATTTTTATTTCCAGTGCCTTTTTCTGGCTGATAGCCCTTCTACTCTCCTCCATTTTGTGGTTTGCCGTGGTTCCACTCCGACAACAACTGGCATTTGGCGTTGTTTTCTCTGTTCTGTTTCAAGAGCTACTTCGTCTGGCTTTCTATGCATTACTCAGGTAACAGAAATAAGATTTAATAAAAATGTATGACTTTGTGTTGTTTGTTTTTGCATATACATCATCATTCTCAACTATCAGTAGTTCAAATGCTTCCTAGTTGTAGTGCTACGAGTTGTACGAGTTGTTTCGGGTACAACTTTCTTGGGTACGAGTTGACCGAGTTACCATTCAAATGACATAATAATTTAGATACATTTCAAGCAAACACCTCCCTAATCTGAACACCTCTAATGTAAAAACATTTCAGGTCCAATTCTTGTTTTATTATGCAGTGGATTTGTATTTTAAACATCTTCAATATATGAATACTAGTTATGATAAATATTGTATTTTAGGAAAGCAGATGCTGGCCTTCAGAAAGTGACTCAGGGGCAAGATGAACAACAACTCAGAGTTGTCAAGAACAAACATTTAATGGCATATGGTAAGTGCAAGATGAACATCAACTCAGAGTTGTCAAGAACAAACATTTAATGGCATATGGTAAGTGCAAGATGAACAACAACTCAGAGTTGTCAAGAACAAACATTTAATGGCATATGGTAAGTGCAAGATGAACAACAACTCAGAGTTGTCAAGAACAAACATTTTATGGCATATGGTAAGTGCAAGATGAACAACAACTCAGAGTTGTCAAAAACAAACATTTAATGGCATATGGTAAGTGCAAGATAAACAACAACTCAGAGTTGTCAAGAACAAACATTCAATGACATATGGTAAGTGCAAGATGAACTACAACTCAGAGTTGTCAAAAACAAACATTCAATGGCATATGGTAAGTGCAAGATGAACAACAACTCAGAGTTGTGAAAAACAAACATTAAATGGCATATGGTAAGTGCAAGATGAAGAACAACTCAGACTTATCAAAAACAAACATTTAACGGCATATGGTAAGTGCAAGAGGAACAACAACTCAGAGTTGTCAAAAACAAACATTTAACGGCATATGGTAAGTGCAAGATGAACAACAACTCAGAGTTGTCAAGAACAAGCATTTAATGGCATATGGTATGTGCAATATGAACAACAACTCAGAGCTGTCAAAAACAAACATTCAATGGCATATGGTAAGTGCAAGATGAACAACAACTCAGAGTTGTGAAAAACAAACATTAAATGGCATATGGTAAGTGCAAGATGAAGAACAACTCAGACTTATCAAAAACAAACATTTAACGGCATATGGTAAGTGCAAGAGGAACAACAACTCAGAGTTGTCAAAAACAAACATTTAACGGCATATGGTAAGTGCAAGATGAACAACAACTCAGAGTTGTCAAATTAAAGTTAAATCATACTCTACACTTTAAATGTAATGTATTTGAAACAAATGAATATTTAATGATACTGAGAACTGAATTATACCCAAACTTTAATTGAACCTGAAGGTATAAAGTTTACAGAAAGAATTGAAAGTTGAAGGTTTAAAATGTACCTAAAGATGAAGTGTTCCCAGCAATGCATAATATACCAAAAGAAAAATGTACCTTCACTTCATAATTGTTTCCTTTTTCAGTTGCCGGTTTAGGCTTTGGACTCATGGGAGGTGCATTTTCATTGGTTAATATTCTAGCAGATATGACGGGACCAGGCACAATAGGACTCCATGGAGAATCTCAAGACTTCTTTTTGGTCTCAGGTATTTGTTAGTTGATTTTTTGCTTCTTTCTCTGTTTATTTATTTATCTGGTCCATGATGATGATTGATCCAACCTACTAATTTACATCTCCCTAATTAAAATAAAACACAAACAAATTAAATAACAAACATATCTCGCACGCTTAATAAAGATGTCACCTAAGTCCATACACGCTTCCTATCTCTCAGATAAAAACACAAATTGCATAGTCAAAAATCACCTAAAAAAGATGTCACCAAAGTGCAAATAAATTCAAATTGCATATATGTATAGTGCTGCCATCTTTTAAACCTGAGGAAAGCTTTGTGACATTAAATCATTTCTTTTCCAGCATTCCTGACTTTATGCTTTGTATTCCTACATACATTTTGGGGAATAATATTTTTTGCTGGACTGGACAGGAAAGCCTATTGGCAGGCTGCCATTGTTGTTGCAAGTCACATGTTGGTCTCATGCCTGGTAAGTGATATATTTATGATGTCTTGCTTCATGGCCCTTAGACCAACTCAGCCATGTGCTCAATGTAGAAAGTTAAATGGATAGCGGTCCAGAGGCTTGATGCAAAACTTATGTATGATATGTATAAAATAAACACTTCTGAAGGAAACACATACTTCTAAACTGAACACCTATCTGAAGTGAATACTTGAAATGAACACCTTTCTGATTAAGTAGTTAGGGGTCTTAGACTTAATGCAAGACATATGAATGATATAAATAAAATAAACACCTCTGGAGGGAACACATCCTTCTAAAGTGAACACCTGTCCAAAATGAACACTTGAAATGAACACCTTTCTGATAAAATAGTTAGGGGTCTTAGACTTAGTGCAAGACGTATGTATGATATAAAAAAATAAACACCTCTGGAGGGAACACATACTTCTAAAGTGAACACCTATCTGAAGTGAATACTTCAAATGAACACCTTTCTGATAAAGTAGTTAGGGGTCTTAGACTTAATGCAAGACTTATGTATGATGTAAAAAAATAAACACCTCTGGAGGGAACACATACTTCTAAAGTGAACACCTATCTGAAGTGAATACTTGAAATGAACACCTTTCTGATAAAATAGTTAGGGGTCTTAGACTTAATGCAAGACTTATTTATAATAAAAATCAAATAATCACCTCTGGAGGGAACACATACTTCCAAAGTGAACACCTATCTGACCTTTCTGATAAAATAGTTAGTGGTCTTAGACTTGATGCAAGACTTATGTAAGATATAAATAAAATAAACACCTTTCTGATAAAGGAGACACTTGTCTGAAATGAACACTTGAAATGAACACCTTTCTGATAAAATAGTTAGTGGTCTTAGACTTAATGCAAGACTTATTTATGATATGTATAAAATAAACACCTATGAAGGTAACACATACTTCTTAAGTGAAGACCTATCTGAAGTGAATACTTGAAATGAACACCTTTCTGATAAAATAGTTAGGGGTCTTAGATGTAATGCAAGACTTATTTATGATAAAAATCAAATAATCACCTCTGGAGGGAACACATACTTCTAAAGTGAACACCTATCTGAAGTGAATACTTGAAATGAACACCTTTCTGATAAAGTAGTTAAGGGTCTTAGACTTTATGCAAGACATATGAATGGTATAAATAAAATAAACACCTCTGAAGGGAACACATACTTCTAAAGTGAACACCTGTCTGAAGTGAACACTTGAAATGAACACCTTTCTGCTGCATTGAACACATCACTTTTCATATATTAGTCTCATAATTGATTTCACTTATATACAGTTGTAGCTGTAAAGAGGTTATTTACTTAGAGGGATTGAATATGCAGCTGGTATGCAGGCCAGCTGCGCACTACGCTAAATAAGAAAATTTAATTTTCAATGTATGGGTTTTATTCCTAAGGACAATTGAATATGATATTCCTTCAATGTAGCTGTGTTATAAATATAGTATACCCTGGTGGATGGAGATACCCCTTCCCTTTTTACATTAAACATTTCAGTCAACATATTCCTGAAAACCTTGGTGCTAAGGAGAACACTGATTAAATGTATTATAAGGAACTACTGTTTTCTTACGTAACAATTCCAAAGATTTACTGTTATTATTAAGAGATACTATACTTTCATGCCAGTCACCTGAATGATCATTTTAGCCAGACTAAAAGGGATGGCTTGTTTGCGACAACCCCCTGTAGTTAGTTATCTAGTTTGTTCAAGACTTTCCAAGTTATAACACAAGGAGGCATAGAGATGCTAATTCTTACATAAAATCTAAGCACCCCTACATCCTATTTCATAGTTAGTTTACTATTCTTTACATAAAATGGGCATAATTAAATTCCAAAGAATTCTATTGTGTTTGTGTTTATTTTGAAATCCTACCGTCAAGATTGTAATATTGAAACCTTTGATGACATATATAAGATTCTATGAGAAACCAGAAAATATTGGCTAAGTTGAATTGATTGAATAATTTTACCCATCTGTTGAGGGGGGCACTGAAGCATTGGAGTAGTAGATACGGGACTATAATGGTCCCATATTGTCTGAAATGGGAGCGAATTAAACCATATTAAACGCACATAAAACCTAATGGTCTATAAGTAAATATTTAGCTTCACCAATTCACAATGGTGATGATTATCAAGAAATGTAACTCAAATTAAAAATTTGATTTCAATTACATTGATGTGTTTCAGGGTTTTGTATTTAATTTGTTTTCCGATTCAATCTGTTGAAAATTGAACACGAAAAAGATTGCAGAAAATGGACCAGTTTTTCCAGTTGATATATTTATTTAATTGATAGGAATATTTGTTATGTTAATTTTAGGTTTAAATGTAGAAATCTTTGCAGAGCATACTATTCGAGACAATCTGTTTCAACTTTAATTTTAATTTTTCCTTTAAAATGAAATAGTCATAAAATGGGAGAATTTCAGCTTATGCTCAGAATGGTTTATTGCGATTGAGTAACCTGAAATTAGTGATAATCAATCCCGAAAACAGTCATCCATAAGAACAAAAAACATATCATAAGGTATCAGGTAGTCTTAAATTAGGCAAGACAAAATATCCCTGGAATGCACAAAAATCTGGCCCAATTTTTCACCAAATCTGTGTCGATTTCACTTAAGTAGAGAAATTGAGGGTTTAAGGAAGACAGACTGGACCATTCTGGTATGATCCCCTCTTATTTGCCGTTTGCCAGAGACTTTGGATAAAGATACGATGAGACTGGACTGACATGTAGCTATCACGTTAAACATGAAAATAAAGTGCATTATATTAATTAATTCAACTGATCACAACAAACATTGAGATAACTGTTCAATATAAACTGTTACATAGCCAAACTAAGATAATCACACCTGGACTCACCTTTCAAGATCAAAGTATATCAATTAACAGGTAAACTAATTAGACACATCCACAATGTTTCAGGTAATATCCTTTTGTTTTAATTTAGCAATTAGATCAGTGGTAAGATGAGAGGGGGTCAATTGCCAAAGTGTGGACCCAAAATAATTGCCTCTTGTTTAGTGATGTTGTTTTCAGAAACTGTGACTCACGCAGCTGCATTCACAGTGAGCTATTTCATGTTATGTTATGTTGTTTTATATTTTTTATTTCCCTATTTCAAGTACATTCAGGCCCGTAGCCAGAATTTTCCAAGGGGGGTTCACTTTTCCCAAAAATTTTAGGGGGGTTCACTTTGGCAAATTTGGCCAAAAATCACTCGGAAAATAGTCAGAATGGTGAAAATATGCATGATTTTGAAAGAAATTTTGGTCAGGGGGGGTTTGCCTGAACCCCCGAACCCCCACTGGCTACAGGCCTGGCATTGAAACTTACAAAGACATCTTAAGACACAGAAAAGGCATTCCTTTCCAATAATTTAATTTTGCTTCTTAAAAGAGAGCTTTATCTACACACCTTATGTAAAATATTCAGTAAAGCATGTCTTAAAATGTTATTATTAAGAGGCGTTCGGGTTAGAAGTGTGTTCAGATATACACGTTTTTTCTGTATTCTAGACTTTGACATCCTACTTTAACATTTGGAAGTCTTAAGAAAGGAGATATACAATTAACAAACTAAGTTTAACAATTGGTCCAAGCTAAAATCAATCCCATTATTGCATGTGTATAAACTCTATAACATCTAAGTTGTTATTATAATCCTTTATAAGCCTGTGTTATGATTAAAAACACACACATTCATTACACCAACCTGATATGTGTAGCATTGTCACATGTGGACCTAAACATGCAATCATTACATATGTTAAAAACTATGTAAGATCTGAGTGTTAAAATCTTCATAAGCCCATGTTTTAATCCATGTGATCATAGAAACCCAGATTGATTGCACCACCATGATATGGGTAGCATTGTCACGTGTGAACTTAAACATGCAATCATTACATATGTTAATAACAATCAAAGTCATTAGACTCATTATAATATTGATTTTGGTCATACATAAATGGATTTGTCAAATATTCTCTAATCCTGCTTTGATCCCAGCTTTGATCACTGTGATCATTATTGATCATTTAGATGTGAATGGCACAGGTGGAGATCTAATAAGATCAAACTGATTACCTTTGATCTTTGTGTTTACCTGTGTAATCAATCAATGGAGTAAATAACCTGGAATTGAGTATTCAGATTTGTTGAATTAGGTTTGTTAAAATTTAAGTGCAAAATAGAAATCTTATTTGGATTGAGAAAACTCTCCTTTATAGTCTTGCTCCAAGCCCCTGTAACCCCCCCCCCCCCATTCAGCTCCTGGAGGTTATGTAGATGTGATTAGAATCTAGACTAACCTATTTATTTAATTTGAGAAACAAATATATGCCCTCTTTGTAAAATACTAAAATGCATTCTTGTATATTTCTGAAATGGAACACTAACAATAACAAATTATTAAAAAGCTTTAGCAGATTAGATTTAGATTTAAACAAATTTGAACATAATTTTTTACATGTAGACAATACAAGACTTGTCAGAAATTTTCTTGAGAAAAGCTTGAGACCTTAAAATTCAATTCCAATGGATAAAATCATGGCCCACCATGGGAGGTCAAAGAAGGCAAAACCAACAGATGTTACCTTTGGATTTCCCATGTACTGATGTAAGACCCGTAAAATAATATATTACAAGTCATGTTTTAAAATGCCAAATAGAGTGAAAAAGAGGGGAAATATCACCAAACAAAATACAAAGGAACAAAGTTAACACTCTAAATTGTATAGAAATGTGAAAAAATCAAAGAGTTTATTATATAATTTTTGGGAGAAAATGAGTAAAAATATCATACCTGGATTGGAATTATTTAAAGGAGTTGCTTGAGAATGTTTAGGTTATTACCTAATTTTGCCACTTCAATTGAAATCACAGAACAATTTCAAAGTTAAAGTACACAATTCAATTCCAATGATTTATGTAATAAATGTCCATTGAAAT